GACAGAAAACTTCCCCTACCTGGTGAAAGAAATAGACTTACAAGTCCAGGAAGCGCAGAGAACCCCAAACAAAAGGAATCCAAAGAGGACCACACCAAGACACATCATAATTAAAATGCCAAGAGCAAAAGACAAAGAGAGAATCTTAAAAGCAGCAAGAGAAAAAAAGTCAGTTACCTACAGGGAGTACCCATACAACTGTCAGCTGATTTCTCAACAGAAACCATGCAGGCCAGAAGAGAGTGGCAAGAAATATTCAAAGTGATGAATAGCAAGAACCTACAACCAAGATTACTTTATCCAGCAAAGCTATCATTCAGAATTGAAGGTCAGATAAAGAGCTTCACAGATAAGAAAAAGCTAAAGGAGTTCATCAACACCAAACCAGCATTATATGAAATGCTGAAAGGTATTCTTTAAGAAGAGCAAGAAGAAAAAGGAACTCTTACCATCTGCCACAGCATGGATGGAACTAGAGAGCATTATGCTAAGTAAAATAAGCCAGTCAGAGAAGGATAAATACCACATGATCTCACTCATTTGTGGAATATAATGAACATCATAAACTGATGAACAAGGACTGATCCAGAGACGGAGAGGCATTGATTGGACTGTCGGGCCTTGGAGGGAAGGTAGGGGAGGGTGGGGGTAAGGGGGAAAGATCAACCAAAGGACTTACATGCAAGCATATAGGTCTAACCAATGGACACGGACAACGGGGGGATGAGGGTATGACCGGGGGGGGGGGGGGGGTGAGGGGGTAACGTGGGTATAAGGACACATATGTAATATCTTAATCAATAAAAAAATATATTAAAAAAAAACAAAAAAGATTCCTGGGCTATCAAATCCTATCTAATAATAGACAAACATGGTAATTAACCGTACCTCCGACACACTTCCCACTGGCTAATCAGGGCAATATGCAAATTAACTGCCAACCAAGATGTCGGCCGGCAGCCAGGCAGCTGAAGCAAACAGGAGGCTTGATTGCTCCAGTGATGGAGGAAGCCCAAGTTCCGCGCCTGCCGCTGCCAGCCTCTAAGCTGCACTCTAAGAAACAATGTTTCAATTATAGAGCTAAACAAACCCCAGAAACCTGCTTTCAGCCAGCCGGGCCTCAGAGCTGGAGCTGCAACAGTGTTTCAATTATAGAAGCCAAACAAACCCAGATACCTGCTTTCAGCAGCCGAGGTCTCAGAGCTGGAGCCGAGCCTTAGAGCTAAAGCCGGCTCTCAGTTCCAGTGACAGCCATAGAAGGTAAATAAATCCCAGAATTAAAAAAAGAAAAAGGAGAGGTTGGGAGCTTCAGTCACCCGCCAACCTGAAAACGGCCCTCAGCCCCTCACCCAGACTGGGCAGGCACCCCAGTGGGGACCCCACCCTGAAGGGGGTGTTACCAGCTGCAAACAGCCATCAGCCCCTCATCCAGGCTGGCCAGGCACCCAAGCGGGACCCCCACCCTGATCCGGGACACCCTTTAGGGAAAACCAGCCGGCCCCCACCCGTGCACCAGGCCTCTATCCTATATAGTAAAAGGGTAATATGCAAACTGACCCTAACAGCAGAAGGACTGGGAATGACTGGTCACTATGACACACACTGACCACCGGGGGCAGACGCTCAATGCAGGAGCTGCCCTCTGGTGGTCAGGGCGCTCTCACATGGGAGGAGCTCTGCTCAGCCACAAGCCAGGCTGATGTCTGCCAGTACAGCGGTGGTGGTGGGAGCCTCTCCTGCCTCCTCAGCAGCGCTAAGGATGTCCGACTGCAGTTTAGGCTTGCTCCCCGCTGGCAAGTGGACATTCCCTGAGGGCTGCTGGGCTGCCAGAGGGATGTCTGATTGCCATCTTAGGCCCAATCCCCCAGGGAGCAGGCCTAAGCCAGCAAGTGGTCATCCCCTGAGGGGTCCCAGACTGCAAGAGGGCACAGGCCGGGCTGAGGGACACCCCCCCCCCCCAGTGCACAAATTTTTGTGCACTGGGCCTCTAGTCCTATATAATGAAAAGCTAATATGCTAATTAGACTGAACAGCAGAACAACCGTCAGAACAACCTTCTGCACAAAGCTGGGGCAGCGAAGGCCCGAAGCTGCAGCGGCTGCTAGGGCCAAGCCCCTTGCACAAATTTCGTGCATCAGGCCTCTAGTAGAAATATAAAGCCAATCCCTATCATTCCCATGATATCATTTAGTTCCATTTAGCAAGAATTGTGTTCATAATGTCTTGTAGAATACCAGATTTCCTTCCCCCTACACTCTCCTTAAACAGTGCTAAACCATGGAACCACCTGTGCTTTTTGTATTGATTTGTATTTAATCTCGGTCTAGAGCAGGGTTTAAGTTCTGTATCAGACAAAGATCTTATTAGGCTGCCTCAGAGAACTATGGAAGCAAATCACAGCAAAGTAGAGTACAACAAAATTTAAAAATCAAGTAACACAAAGCTATATCAACACCTCAGAGTTTGGGCAGAGTTGACTCTGAAGAAGCCACTTATCAATATACCAGAGGCCCGGTGCACGAAATTCGTGCATGGGGGGAGGGGGGTCTCAGCCCGGCCTGCACCCTCTCCAATCCAGGACCCCTTGGGCCTAAACCAGCACTCCAACATCCCTCTCGCAATCCAGGACCACTGGCTCCTAACCGTTCACCTGCCTACCTGCCTGATCGCCCCTAACCTCCTCTGCCTGCCTGTCTGCCTGATCGCCCCTAACCTCCTCTGCCTGCCTGCCTGCCTGCTCACCCCTAACCACCCTCCCCTGCTGGCCTGATCGCCCCTAACCACCTCTGCCTCGGCCCCCACCACCATGGCTTTGTCTGGAAGGAGGACCGGACGACCAGAAGATGTCTGGTCGACCTGGTCTAATTAGCATATTACCCTTTTATTAGTATAGATGCAGATTCTCCTCCTTGCTCCCAGGACTTTGCACATGCTATTCCCCCTGCCTGGAGGTGTTCATGTGGCTAGACTCCAGAAGAACAGCCTTCCCAAGTACTATTTCCCCACTCCAAGACAGTTGCAACTATTTATCCATTGTCCTCCCTCATTAGATTAAAAAGGCCATGAGGGAAAGAAAGGCCCTAATCATCCCTAACAAGTAGTCTGGTCTTGAGCACACATTAAAGATTTTTATTTGTTAAGTAAATTCTTTCCTTAAGCTTAGGAGTTACAAAGTCAAAGGCTCATAAGGGAACAGGACTGCATAAAGAAGCAGGTGTGCTGGGAGGCAGGAGAGACTTCAGCCAACTGCAGAGCCACTGGATAAGAGGACAAGGCTGCCACTCAGTTCCTCCCAGCCAATGACATGCAACGGTGGGTCATGTCCTCTGTTGCCAGACAGTAAGAACAAGTTACCAAAATTCTGTATTTTCATGAAAATCTCCCAATTTTTATAAATGTTGGTACTCAATTTAAAATGTTTAACCAAACACACTGTGGGGGCCAAGAAAAACAGGCCCAAATTCCAGATAGCTGCAAACCCTGCGTTGGCCTCTCCCTGAAATCCTCTGAAAGTTCAGTGAACACAATGACTCTTATTTCAATCCAAAGGTTGAGAAAGCAGATTTTACCAAACAATCCGGACTCATCAAAATTACAAAGGAAAAAAACATGATGCCATGAAATTGGGAATTTATATATTTGAAATGAAAACTGAATTATTCCATTTCAGTACTTCTATTACAAACTTAGTAGACATCAGTCCTATTTTAGACAGATTTTTATAGAACAATAGATTTAAATGTATAATTTTAGAATTATAAATCACTATGTGAGACTAGCTATCATCATGAGCAGTGCCACCTTGAATGTTCATTCATTTTAGCCCCAGAATAAGATTATTTCCTTAGTTCTAAAACACTCTCTAAATAGCCTAAGAATAGTTTTTAAGTTTAAAATATTCAGGTTATCAACAATTTTATTCTGAATTAAACTTAGATTTGTTTCCAAACAATGCATTTATTCAGTAGGATACCAGTTACCAGTCATAAAAAACTTTTGTATGTTGAAAATGTAATTTTAATAGATAATTCTTCATCTTACATAGGAGCACAATAAAATACACCACATTCTGAAGAAACTCCAAAAGTTACGAGATTAAAAGTGGGGGAAATTCAGATAGGCTACAATATCCATTACCTTGAAACTGCAAGAGATAAGGGTTCTAACCCATAGGTTAACATATACATACTTGGGACTGGCTACATTGATGACTTTAAAATAACAACAATCAGAATTAGATATGGAGAGGTGTGGGAAAGAACAGTTTTGTGGGGCAAAGGACTCTGTCAATGATGAAAAAATTACTGAATTATCAAATTAAAGAATAAAAGGAGCTCCCATAGCAAATACTAGAGGGATAAATATAGTAATAAGTAACTGAGATTTTGACACTCTCAAATGAAGAAGCCTTTCTGATGACACTTCTGCAAACTGGTAGCTTAAGATTTGCTCATTGGGTCTGTAAGGAAGACTCAAAATTCTTAGCAAATCCCAAATGCTTATCAGATTGTGTTTCCTAATAACACCCATCAGTGATTACATGAAGTTTTCAGACAAGAACTAAGGAAAGGGTCATAACCCAAATGCCTGTCATAAATGTGGCACAACATGGGAAAGTCCTACACAAAGTCAGTCACACCGCTGCTTTGTTGGGACTCTCATATATAGTTAATTTTCAAACATTGTGGCAAGACACCAATGCTCATCTAGCTAATCAGACAACACAAATACATTTATTTCAAATTTCAAGGAGGTAAAAAAATGTTAAGATACGGATGTTTTATGCATGCTCAGGGCCAACCTAAAAATACTCCATTCAGTGATATCATAACACAAATTTGCATCAGTGAAAAGAAACTGGCATAATCCACCTCTTATCATTCAACTTGTTGGATGGTGAAGACCAAAACAGAATATTTCACTAATTTTAATTTTTAAATACGATTGTCACATTGGGAAAATGAAATAAACACAGTAAAATAAACTGTACAAAGGCAAAGTAGAATAACAAAAAATATTTTACTAAAACATAAGATTTACAGAAGTTTCCAGACAAGCCATACAAATGGTCACAAGCTTTTCTTGAAGGGGGAATTCTACATCTGACAGCAAAGTCACAATGTTATTTGTGAGGGCCATGGTGTTTGTTTAATGTTCCCATTTTGGTTCAAACAATCAAGCTTGTCCACCTACAGCGTCTAAATGAAGTTAGACTTGGCTAGAGAGCATATTCTAAAGAACTGGTTAGCTGCATTTAACCAATGCAATTAGATCACCATAAAAAGGGGGAAAGGAGCCCATAAAATTAAAATTAAACTACTTACCCCCTCAAAAAAAAGAAAACACCCACACCCCGGCAGCTAACCCTGACTACCTTCATTCACAGTGCTTTATACTTAAACCATGATGGGGAGAAATGAATAAAAGCAGAGAGGAGTCACTGCTTTTAAACGTTTCACAACAGTCCAGATGGTACTTCTAGCCTCTGCTCATGCTTTATAACAGTGAATCAGGACAAGACATAGATTTGCTAATGTGCATTTAATCACCAAAGGACTGAAGATGTCTGGGCTTTTATTCTGTAATGTTTCTAAGACTGTGTCCATTAAATGCAAACAAAAAAGGAAGAAGTCTTGGCAGAACAGGAGAAGTGATGCACACCTGATGATGAGATCGATTTAAATATTATTCATGGCATATAGCCTAGTCCATGCTCTAGCTGTAGACAAAAACAAACATGCAATTACTTTACTTAGTTCAATGTTACTCTCCAAGCTCTATAAAAAGTAAGCAAACACTATGATATTAGTTATGGAAATGTCATGTTATTATCTCTTAAATTCATGCAATTTTTCATAATCTGGACCAGGGCAGAAAGATTGTCTATATGTTTAATTACCAAAAGTTCTACAAAATTCAACAGGATGAAAAGAATTATCTCCTTTGTCACCCTCATTTCTAGATAGATAATGCCCCCCCCCCCACTAATTCTGTTATAATCTGTAGAAAAAGCTTATTGATTTCAAACTCCCTAGCTACATAAACCGATGTAATAATCAAATGGCTTGCAAAAATAACTCATAGTTCAAAAGTTTTCCATTACCTTGGTGTATTTGCTAGATGAATAGTAGACACTCAGTATTTGTTAAATTAGGCGTGGTTACACAAGAGTCCAAGATCTCCCAATTATGTGTTGTCTTTAAACTTGGGGGTCACGTAGTAAGTAGGTCATAAGATGGAGCGTGAAGATCTTTTAAGAGGTATTTATTTACATATTATAAGCAGGATCTGATTTACTCCCTTTAATATATATTTCCTTTTTCTTGTTAAGACTCTAAAAGAAGTTTTTTTAAAGGTAGCACAGATATGTTTAAAAAGTGGAGATGGTGTAAAAGAGAATGAATATTAAATACCTGTTTCTATGGCTTGGGCTTCGTTGGTCTTCCATTGCTCCGCTACATCATTTGCTAATGGGTCATCTGGATTGGGAGCACTTAACAAAGCCTGGATCGATAGCAGAACTGTGCGAATCTGCAGTGCTGGGGACCACTTATCTATATGAAGGCAACAGGCCCAGAATGATCAAACAGGGAAAACCAGCCCCAGAACTGCTGCACTGCCCTCCCACAGACCTCTGTGGTCTTTGGATAAGGCAAGATTATAATGTACAGATTCTCAATATGGAATGCCTAAGACAAAATGAAGAAATCTTAATAGCACATACTGATAAAGGTAACACTTACCTTTCAAAATATCTAAACATATTCTTCCCAACTTGTCTACATTAGGATGATAAATTTTGGTCATGAAACGTACTTTAGGTGCTGCCATTGGGTATTCTTCTGGAAGGAATAGTTCAAGTTTAAAAGTCCCTCCCTCAAAGGGGGAATCCTGGGGGCCAGCAATGACCACATGAAAATAACGGGCGTTGCTCTCATCTGGTTCTGCTTTAATGCCGGGAACTGGTTCTGCCAGCAAACGCTGGGTTTCCTACAACAGAAAAACATAACACATTTGTGAAACAAATGTCATTTTGCTAAACACCTACATAAAAATTAGAAAGTTCATCTCTTAAAATTGAACACAACTGAACCTTTCCAATCTCCCGATGGGTTTTTATGTAGCTTATAAAACACAAAGTTCACAGAAAAGGCCATCCAAATAGTCAGCTAATGCAACTACAAGTAAATGCTGATGACATATACATTCCAGGTACAATGTCTACAAATATGCTGATGACAAATTAGACTAATGAAACTGATTTTATACTGGGGAGGGGAGGGGAAAAAAGGGGGGGAAGGGGAAGGGGTGAGGGAGGGGGTGAGGAGGGAGGGGAGGGGAGGGGAGGGGAGGGGAGGGGAGGGGAGGGGAAGGGAATAACACTAGGATTACCATATAGCTAAGGCAACTTGCCCTTTAAAACTCTGCCAAGCCCTAGCTGGTTTGGCTCAGTGGATAGAGCAGCCGTGGGCAAACTACGGCCCTCGGGCCGGATCCGGCCCGTTTGAAATGAATAAAACTAAAAAAAAAAAGACCGTACCCTTTTATGTAATGATGTTTACTTTGAATTTATATTAGTTCACACAAACACTCCATCCATGCTTTTGTTCCGGCCCTCCGGTCCAGTTTAAGAACCCATTGTGGCCCTCGAGTCAAAAAGTTTGCCCACCCCTGGGATAGAGCGTCGGCCTGCAAACTGAAGGGTCCCAGGTTCGATTCCGGTCAAGGGCATATGCCCGGGTTGTGGGCTCGATCCCCAGTGGGGGACTTGCAGGAGGCAGCCAATCAATGATTCTCTCTCATCATGGATGTTTCTATCTCTCTCTCCCTCTTCCTTCCTCTCAGAAATCAATAAAAATATATTTTTAAAAAGTTTTAAAAAATAAATAAATAAAATAAAACTCTACCAAAACTCAGTTGTTTAAAAAATTAGTTTTAAAGCCACTGAAAATCTCCCCTCCTAATCAGGTCTAGAGAAATATAACATACAACCATGCCAATTAAGTCTCTAAGATTGATGAAACTTAAAGGGACCCTTACTGGTCCCCAACTATCATATTAGTTTTCTTTTCCATCTTTCTCCCTCTGAAAAAACTGTAACATTCTTCCTCCTCCTCCAAACCTCTGACATCTCCATCTTCATCCTCACTTTTGGCTGATGACTCTGCTTTCAATATGTCATGAGAAAACCAAAACTTCCTGAAGTTTCCTCTGTAGCATTTGTACACCTCCCTAAATCTGTGCTCTGCCTTTTCTCCTGTCACTATGGATGAAATGGCTATCACTCTAGGCTAAGGCCAACCTTTCCTCTTAAGAACTAGATCCTTGTGGGCATAACGAATGGACATAAGACACTGGGGGGTAGGGGAGGCCAGGGGATTGTCAAGGGCGGGGAAAAAAAAGGACACATATGTAATACCCTTTGTAATACTTTAAGCAATAAAAATAAATAAATAAATAAAAATAAATAAAAAAAAAGAACTAGATCTTAACTCCTCCTCACCTACTCAAAGACATTGCTCTAGCATCTCTTTCCTCTCCTAAATCATGTTTTTCCCCTTTTAGTGGGTCTTTCTCTAAACTGTACAAACTTGCTGTAATTTCTCCCACTAAGAAAAGAATCTGACTTTGACTCCCTACCAGCTACTGCCTCATAACTTTGCTCCTCTTTTAAGTTATCTATACCTGCTCGTTTCCAATCTCTTCCCTCCTATCTTGAACACAATTCTCTAATCAGGCTTAGCCACTAACCTGCTTATTAAAGTCACCAATGATTCCCCATGGTTAAATCAAATGACCAATGTTTTAATCTTCATTTTTCTTGACCTAAATATAACATCTTACCCAGCTGGCTAGGCCTCGTCGCAAGGCTTTATCTAGCTTCCTGTAGCCACACTCTTTGGGCTCTCTTTGCAGATTTGTCTGGCAGCAACCTCCTAGCTGATTCCTCCCTAATCGCCCCAACACCCTAAAGCTGAAGTGCGCCAGGGCTCTATCCCAGGGCTTCTTCCCTGCCTATACATTTCCGTAGTGATCTCATCTAGCACAATCAATTTATACTAAATACACTCTGTATTTGAAGTTTCTCCAAACTCATATCCAGCACAGATCTCTCCCCTGATCTTGCCTCTTCTATCCATAACCGCCTGCTTGACAGCTCCTTTTGAATGTCTAATAAGCATCCCAAACTTAGCATGACTGTCACCTTCAACCTGTTCCTACTCGCAAAGCCTTCCTCATGTCAGTTAACCACAGACCCATCATTCCAACTGATCCACCTTTTCCTTCATACCCCACACATTTAACGTGATCAACAAATTTTGTTAGCTTGAACTTTGAAATCTACCCAAAGTCCTTATAATACACCCCCTCCCCCAAGAGGCTTTAAATGAACCTTTCACTCATCTTCAGCTATGCTTTCCACACCTTAACCGCAACCTCACCTGCTTTGTTCCAGCCAGACTAGCTTCTTTGTAGTTCTTCATCCTGCTAGGCACACTCCTCCCTCAGGGGCATTGCATTTGCTCTTCTTTCCAAATTTCTACTAATATATGGCTTACTTCCTCAGCTCCTAAGGTCTTCATTCTAAAGTGTTTTCTCAGTAAAACCTCCATGACTGAAGCTACAAAAACCCCTTATTACCCTATCCTAAATCCTCCCTATCCTTGCTCCCCTACTTTATCTCCTCAGCATTTTACATATATATCATTTAAATCAGAATGAAAGTGCCATAAAAGGAGAGATTTGCATGGTTTATTTACTGCTTTATTCCTCAGCATTTGAAAGAGTGCCTATAACCATAGATGTACAATAAATACTTGAATTGTGGATCTATTTGATATTATTTAAAAAAAGGAATAAACTCAGAATTTCATCTTCTTTTTAAAATATATTTTTATTTCAGAGAGGAAGGGAGAGGGACAGATAGAAACATCAATGATGAGAGAGAATCACTGATCGGCTACCTCCTGCATGCCTCCCACTGGGGAACAAGCCCGCAACCCAGGCATGTGCCCTGACCAGGTATCAAACCATGACCTGATTCACAGGTTAACGCTCAACCACTGAGCCACGCCGGCCGGGCAAGAATTTCATCTTTAACATTAAAGCAGTGTTATTCACAGCAGGATGTACACTTCATAGGAAGAAAACAAAAGGATAACTTCAGGTATGGGAAGAAATAATCCAACGTCTATTTATAATTTATTTCTACCCAGAAAAGTGTTAATATTCAATATACAAACTGACAATAGTATGTGTATTATATATATATTAGTAATAGATTGTCAACATTTTGAACAGGCAAAGTGTAGTAATAAACATTTAGAACACTACTAAATCTATGCTTTTAGGTATAAAAAAATGAATGTGAACACTATATTTATACTGCTTTTGCTTTTAAAAAAAATTATACACCTTATACCATTTCATTCTACAGCCTATAGTTCATATACTAAAAAAAAAAAATGTCAGCAGTCATATACTGAAAATCACAAGATGCATATATAAAATCAACTCTGTGGACGAAAGGGGCCACATGCTGAACTTTAAAATGGGAAAAGTTACGCCCTGGCTGGTTTGGCTCAGTGGATAGAGTGTCGGCCTGCAGACTGGAGGATCCTGAGTTCGATTCCAGTTAAGGGCACGTGCTTGGGTTGTGGGCTTGATCCCCAGTAGGGGGCATGCTGGAGGCAGCCAATCAATGATCCCCTCTCATCATTGGTGTTTCTAGCTCGCTCTCCCTCGCCCTTCTTCTCTGAAATCAATAAAATATTTTAAAAAAAATAAAATGGGAAAAGTTACTAGTTAATAGGGTTTAGTTGACAAGTGTTGTAGTGTACCATAGTATAATTCTGAGACTTGCTTTTCCCAGTCACAATAAATCTGTTGATAATCAGATCAGTTTGATATTTCTTTTTAAAGTATTTGCAGCATGAACTGTTGTATACATTCTGTGAGATGAGACAGTTTCCTAGAGACTTACAGCACTTCAATTCGAACTAGCCACATTTCAACTGCTCAATAACCACATGGGGCTTATATGGTTATAGGACAGTTAAAACACAAAACAATCCTGTTATAATGAAGTTACTTAGAGGTCATTAAGAAGAATTTAGCTTATATAGTGAGAAAAATTTGTTAGAAAAACTTTAAATGATCACTATTTTCTCCTCAAAAAAATTCTATACAAAAAGTAATGTCAGCACATCTGAATCACTATAACAGAGATTAGTATATTTGTTTTTGTTTGTTATAGTCACAAGACTGTATCTGAAAATATTTGTAGCAATTCGAAAAATGCTTGGACAAAAATTAACTAAAACAAGGCAACCTCATGATAAAATTAAAGTGTAAGAGTTGAGAAATAATTTTAATTTTTATAGTCCACACTACCCCCTAGTGGACATAAGACAATATCTACTTATTTCAACCCCATTTCCTTTGCAAATGAAAAAACTGACACTCATACAAGTTATTTTACCCTAATTCACTAACTTGAACAGGAAAGTATCCTGTACTCCACAAGACAGGATAGGACAACATGGGCTAGAAATCTCTATGTTCTAATTTACCCCCTCCCCCCGAAACCAGATCAATGCTCCTGTGAAGTTCAGTGAAAAGAACGGAGACTTGGAAGTCAGAGAGGGACTCCAAAAGGCTAAGTATCTAACCAAATTGTTTCTCAGACCTGAACTGTCTACCCTGTACTTCCAGTTTACTGTGCATTATCACAACTCCTAAAACTATCACAATAATTGTTGGTTTATTTGTCAGACCCTAAACTATTTGAAGATGGCAACTCCAGCAGCATATGGTGGTGGTAAGTGCTATAAATGTTTGTTCAATGAGTAAATGCATGCATGCTTAGGTACCACACAGAGCTGATGAGAAGGATTACTATATATCTGCTGTGTTAGTTGGTTCACTTCTAACCCAGGAATGGCATTTAAGATTATTCCAATGACCCACAATGGACAAAAATCTGAAAA